ATTGCGAATATTATCAACATGGAATACTTGAAAATAAACCAAGGAAATATGTTTTTCAAATGTTGATTTTGCAATCTATAATTTTTTTTAATAATAATGAGTTAGTGTTTCTATGAAATAATAAAACATTATTTTTCATTCTATTTTTAATTATTATTATATCGCGTTCATTTGTTGGATTAATTGATTTGCTAGCTTCAATTCAAATATCATGATTATTAGATAACGATTTTTTTCTTGGAATATGATCATGTTGATATGCTACAAAACAATCGAACAGGAACTCAATTATTTATGTGATTTTTATCATTTCTAGAAATATATTTATAGACTATTTATAGTCACATTTATATCCATATGATGAAAAATAATCACTAAAAAATGGCAAATGAATGTTAATATGTAATTAGATAGTTTTAGGATTGGTACTTTTAGTAATCAAAAAAGTTAGCATGATAAAGTTAAAGCAGCAGTAAATTTTCTTTTAGGGGGGTTTGCAATGGAAAACTGTGGAATCAGATATAGAGAGTCAGACTAGGTAGAAATGAGGAGGATGAAAAGTGGGTGGAAGTGACGACAGCGAAGTGAAAAGCAGATATAGAAGCTGAACATAGAAAGTTGCTGAACTAATAGGACGATTTTCAACGCGGAGCGTTTAATTAAATTAATTATATGCGCACCTCGCTGGTAATATAAATTGTGAGGGACCATAGAGGATGAACCAAGCGGTAGCTGTAACGGCATTGAATTTGTCAGAAAGAGAGGGTATAAGGAAAGAAAATGATGGTTGGACAAATGCCATCATGGAAACTCGGTGATCGCCAACTTTGATAGTTACACTTCATCCATCTATATGGAAGCCAGATTCTAAATACATTTAGCTTCTATTCTTGTTGCCAAAACGATACGTTTTATACCCGCAGGGATTAAAGTATAAAATCAAGTGGACAAAGTAAAGAGGTACATAATCTATTGATGTCATGAAGAAAGGTTTATTTCCATTCTAGTCCATTTGTTATCGCACACTTTCTTTTTGGAGAATCTACATATTTATTCATCTTATTGTCATCATTGCTATTTTATCAACTCATCTGCTAGATTATCAGCACATTTTATTTTTTAAAAGAAACAAAATTATTTAGACCTAAAAAAAAACAGTTGGGAGCTTTTTCTGATAGAATATAAACCCAGCAGATGACCTGCCCAAGCAAAGCATTATATTTAAATACCAAAAGTTTTTTGGTCCTCACCGAGTCTCATTGATATCGTTCTCGTATCGAGAAATATCTGTTAGTTTGTGCATTATCTTTCTGGACGCGTGAGGGTAGCTTGAAGCAGTATCAAAAGATGGTATGGAAGCTTGTCGACAGAGAATAGCAAAAGAGAAGGAGAGTGAAAGCTCATTGCCTCGTCTCGTCCATAATCCCAACCACTGTCTGACTTGAGCTAGGGATCGCTACTTAATGCGGAAAACCAAAGGCATTTCTACCAACGCCCCTCACTCTTCCCCACTCTTCATAGCATCTGCTGCATGGAATTTCGCTTTGATAAATTATCCCTTTCACGTTCTGATGATGTTTTATTTTATTTTTTTTCTTTTATAATTTTTGATTTTTTTTTCTCTTCCCTCAATGAAACCAAATTGTTTAAATTATTACATTACATGAATGTTCTTTGAATATTTTATTTGACTAAATGAATAATCTTTATCATCAGCTAATTATTTTTTTACTTTTGAATGATATTTGTTAACAAGAATGAATATATTAACGACAATTAAAAAGAAATGATTAAAGAATGACTGAAAATGTCGATCTTGTATCTTCTTCAACATCTCATATCTCATTAAATTTCCCCCAAGTTCAATTGTGATTGATCACTCGACGGTGATTGAGGATTTAAAATGAAAAGCCACGTACACAGATATATAAGCACATCATACAGTTGAAGCATATTGGCGTATTTCGTAAAGACAATGAGATGTCTCTAGAGTTTCTGTCTCTTTTTCACCCCTTTTTTCGCATTATCTTCTCCCTACGAATAATAGAGTAAAATTTATATGCTGGTATATCGGTATGATAAAAAGACAGACAATCGACGGCATGAGTACAAAGGAAGGATTAATTTTAAATATAATATACTTGCTGGCGACCAAAAGCTCAGCAGTGCAACAAAGTAGAGACGTCCGGAAAATTACGAAAAGGCTTTATAAGCTTCTCTTATTATTATTTTTATTATATTCATCAAAAAAAATTTATCATAAAAATATTATTATTATTTTCATTTTTATTATTACTCTCATTTATAAATAAATAATTTAGTTAAAAAATATAAACAATATTAAATACTATGTTGTTCTCTTTCAAAAAGTTTGAAACATTTGCTGACTTGTGGCCAGATTTCAATGAGATATTTGTATCAAAAGTCATATATATTAAGCAATCAAGACAATATTTGCCAAGTATTTTTGAAATAATGATAAAGACATTATTTTATAATTCAACTCATTTGTTTAACAAACAAGATTATTGTTCATATACAAGACTATAAATAAATTCAAAAGTCATATTTAATGAAATCAAAATAATCCCAATTTTTATTTATAAAATAATTTTGTTGTTTTTTTGTTTTGTCCTCAAGGATCAATCGTAAGTTATAATACAGAAAATTGTGTATAAAAAAAAAAATACATTGTGGCGTGTGGATAAGCCAGGGGTTGCGAACAAAAGTCATGACGATACGCTATTGCAGGGGGTTCCTATAAATCTCTTGTGACCTGATAAGAAAAGATTGCCTTTATCGATGAGTATAAAGTTGGGCTGTACAACCGTCTCGATAGAAACACACAAGACTTGCGATATAAGTTTGCGTGTTCCTTGAACCTATATTTAAATTAGTAATTATGATATAATCAATGGATTGTTATTAGATACGCATCAAAGTGATGAAATGTTGTTGATGAAATACAGTTGATTTTTTAATTTTACTATCATAATTAAAAACAAAACAATTGATTTATTTATTTAGAAGAAAAATTATTATTTCCCTAGTAATGAATATTATTGGAAAAAAATTAATAAAAAAAAAAGAAAGAGTTGAGAACCATTTTGAAACTATTTTTAAATGTTAAATATGAAAAGATTGGAAGAAAATAATGATAATGGTTATTATATAGCATACAGTTCTTAATCTATATTTTATATTACTTATTTCATTTTTATTGTATTAATGCTTGATATTTATATAAGCGATAATAAGAATGTTTACAAAAGAAGTCTCGAGCTACTCAGATATATTCAATCAATATAACTGACTTAATCGGTTTCATAATGCTCCATCAAACACGACATCGGTTTTTGTCTTGTCTTTATGATCGAATAATCATTTTTGTTCTCAAGAAATATGCTAGAGGGATTTATTGCTTCTTTTGTATTGTCGTCAAGCTGTGTTGCGTATTCCCGATAATTTCTTATCATCACCATTATCAGCATATCTTTCTATCAGTATAAATACATTAATTCCTATTCGCTGGCGATGTAATCAACGTTAAGTAATATGGTCGTCGACAAAACCGTCCATTGATGGCAATTATAGTATTTTTTACATTACTATTATTACCAATACAAAAAAAAACAGCCAATCATAAAATGGTCAATATTGTAAAATAAATAGATGTCTCCATCTTTGTATTATTTGACGAAGGACTAATTTTGTTGGCAGCAATGTTCGACCGATTTGTTTATGTTTAGTAAATGTAAGTGTAAAAAATGGCAAGTACATAAAAGTAAAAATATTTTTATCCAACAGTAAATTTTGAGTTTATCATAATTTATTCATCTTAAGGAAGTTGTTGCATTAAACAAAATAAAAGATTAATCTATAAATTATTTAGTTTAGCAATAATAAATGTCGAAAGTTGAGTTAGAAGTTCAGTTAAACACTAAACCCAATAACACAAATAAATTCAGATATCTTGTAAACAAAACGATCAATAATTTTATAATTATATAATAAATCAATTCTAATTGTCAAGTTTGATTTAATATCAAATATTATGATTTATCTTTAAATTAAATTTTAACATAGGTTTTCCCTGTACTATACTATAAGTCGTGCAACTACTTCCTTAAATAAACATTTTAGTTTTAATTTCGTGATATTTTACAATATAATTGGCTGGTTGATGTTAAAAGTACTATTTTGATTGGTGGTAGAGAATTTATTTGGAGTATTTAAAAAGCATGAAATCACAGGTATGACATTAGAAGAAAAAAGAGATAAAAGTGTAGCATTAAAGAGGAAAAAGAGAAAGGGAAAAAAGCAGATTACTAGTGATTATTGCGTTTGAAGCGACAAAAGCAAGTAGAGGTAATGTTGGCCGCAACTGAGCGCGCGCTTGACTACTAGTGTCAGTAGCTCTTGAGGATGGTTATAAGCTATTCACTCTACTCCCTTCTAACATAGTAGGTATAGTAAATTGCACATATGTGTGTGCAATGGAGAATTGCGTTGGCTGCTACACCCTCGTGTGTTTCGGTTTCACCCTCTGACAGAGCTTTCACACCAGCCCTCGTGGCCGATTTGTAGGTGTTAGTACGTGTGTATACCTACTATATACACTTGATTCAAGCTCACGTGGCCTTGTATATATTTCTACTGATTCCCCTCCGCCTGATGTACAACAGTAAAACGTAAAGAGTACCGAGTCATTCACTTGGAAACGAGTCACATCGAGCGTGTGATTTCCACGCGTTGCTTGCGGGACACATCAAAGGCCAACAGACGAGCCATAAATATATCCCATATACACTTCATCTTCGACGTGAGCTTGATGGAAGGTTTGATATTTTTATGTTTGTTAAACGACTCAACTTCCAAGTCACGAGAATTATGAAGCTTATTAATTTCATCTATTTTTCAACATTTCTTTCTTAAAAAATAAACGATCAATTGTTTTAGAATCATTTTAATAATAAATTAATCAAGTATTGTCAACTTACTTCTTTATCTTTGGTCTGAAGTTCTTGTTCCAGGTTATTATTAGGTGATCTTGGGTTACTTTGGTCGTAAGTTTGTTCTGTGTTCTGTACATTCTGTGATGTTTTTTGGTGTCCCTCAGTTTTAGAATTCCCATCGTTTGATGCGGAAAGCTGTTCTTTTAATGCTGATACTTCTTTTTCTGCTAAAGTAGCTCTCTAAAACACATAGAAATCATTTTTTTTTTTGTTAATAAAAATTTTTTTATGAAAATAAAAAAGAAATTGTATGAAATTATTTGGCAGTAATAAATATATTTAACATTTGAAATGTAAAAAAAATAATATGTATTGAGTTTATGACTAATAGGGTGACGATACACGCCTTACAAAATCAATTGTATACGGAAAGTAAGTGTACTCATTCGACACTCTTACACACATATACATTTGTTCTAAGCTTTATTGTTGTTCAATCAAGATAAGATTATAACTCGATGACATTATTTTTTTTTTTTTTAACTTTGTAATATAAATTTAAAATCATTTTTTACATTTACATAATATCGTTGACATTTTAAAAATTATCTTAATTTATGATTAATAAATTAATAAATAATAATGATATAGTTATGAATGAAATTAATGAAAAAAAAAAAAATGTATAGCCTGATAATTCAATTAAATAATTAAATAGAAAAATGGTAAAGTTAATAGAATTCGAGTTCAGATAAAGTTTAATTAACTCCAGATGCCGATTAATGAGTCAAACATGTGCTGACACATAGACCAGATCATTCGACTTGTACTCATGCTTCGAAAAGCGCATATGTTTGTCATTAATAGTTGAACGACAACGTCATCATTTGGTTCACGTGTTTGTTAATTTGAATGTAATAATAAGTATACATCTAATGAGATAAATAAAGTACAGAGTTCAAGAGTTAATAATAATCGATTTAAAGAAAGGAGAAAAGATGAAATGTTAGTGAATAATTGGTTTGTAAGAAATGCAGTTGAGGAATCTTCTTCATTATGTGTCCTACCTCCTATCATTCGCTTTAGAGTCAAGGTTAAGGATTTCCCACCGTGAAGAGGTTTTTTTTGTCTTTTCTCTTCATCTTCTTTTCGTCTTCTTTCTCGTTTGACCAGGGAAAGGCAGGGTGAAGGAGAGGGGGATAATAAGAGCAAGAAACAGCTATTTCTACAGATGCTCATCAACGTCGTTGAGATCCTGGGATGGATCGCACGAATGAGTGCATGTGTCAGCATCCTCCGTTCACACGGACCCCACTTTCAAGAGTATTTAGGTATCAGCCAAATATGCTACCTTCGTTTCCTTTACTATCTAGTCTCTCTACTCTCTCGCACTTGGCATTCGGGTAACAGCTGGTAAAAATCACCAATGAACTTGCCCTGTCAAACTACAAATATTCTAGATCTTTACAAGAAAACTTCAACCACAATAACCCACCAAATACAATTACTCTGATTATTATTACACTTTCCAATCAATTCAATATATTGTCAAATATATATATATGGTCTTTATAGTAATGCATAAATGATTTGTTTATTTTCAATGTCTAAATGAGATTTGAGCTGACCAGACATATTTCCCTGTCATCAAGATTTCTTTAGAAATAAAGATAGGATTATGGATCACTTTTTGTTTTGACTCAATCACATTTTACTCTGTTAAATTATTACCAATCATCACTTCTCGAACTTTCTATTAATTGCCAAGAAGTTAGTTTCCAATATATTTCAGGGTTAGCTAATAAAAGACACAGCATGCTGACGAATTAAAGAAATGGACCGTATAACTATTATATAGTTAATCTCTGATTTTTTATTTATTTTTATTTGACAAAATAATTTAGTTAATGTTAATAGTAGAGAATGATCTTTATCCTTGAAATGATACATCTTTTATCATCAGTAATAATCTTTCTATAAATAATTATTATGATTATTATCATTAATATCAATATTGAATATTTCTCAATAGCTTTTTTGTCATTTGCCGATATCAATGATGGCATAACGAGTAAAACATGACGAAGGCATCCAAGAGGCTCTTGTCATATCCCCACAGAGGGTTGGATTCAAGAGGAAAGTAGAACGAGAGGGTGTAAGGGTGGATTAACCGGTTATGACTACAAGACTGTTATTTTTTCGCCGAGAATAAAGGGAGAGTAGGTGCGATATTTCAAATTTTCTCATTACACCGTGAGGTGCGAATGATCTTCCCTTGTCGTTGCTTTTCTCCTTTTTACGACCATTCCTCTTTTTCTTTTCGTTAGATGTATACACTACTACTATGCGCCGCCATTCTACAACTACCTCAATCTCTACCTCATCTCTGTCTCACTTTCTCACTTACTTCGTTCTCGTTCTTTCTCTCGCCTGCCACCCCTTTTCAATCTCACACCAACCATCAGAATAGGAACCCCTCTTGTATTTATTATCAAGATATCGACCGGCCTCAAAGGCCTCCAGTGGCGGATAACGCACGAATATGCGGTAAATACTTGATTGCTAGGCATCTAAAGTGTAAAAGACTTGTGAGTCTTCTAATTTTTTATGACATTCAGCTTCACTAGACTTTTCCTCGTAAAAACTGATTTTTCTATTCTCCTAAAAATAAATCTTATCTTTTAAAATTGATTATCTGTCCATTTTTATCTATTAAATATTAACAAAACTTTTGATTCAATTAATATTTATATAAGCTTGATTATAATAAAATTGTCAAAAATAAAAAAATTAAGATCAATAAGAAAAATTGATTTTAAAAATATTTAGGGATATAATAATACTCAAATACTGCGGGTGATTTCTTAACAAATAAAGAATATTTAACATAATGATGAGAATAAAATTTAATCATTTTAATACCCGCATAATATTTTTTTGATTATATGAAATAAGGTTAAACATATTTATTTCTGTCACGTTGCTTAATGGTTATGAATTTTATTGTTAAAAATATATAAGAGGTTTATCGTGAACGTATAAGGGCTAGTAAAGCAGCAAACATATTTAAGAAATATTAATAGATGGGGGACGGAGAAAAGTCAAAGTGTATAACAATCCCCAAAGAATCTACCCTCAATTTTAGGCCTCAAGGCATCACGCAAAAAATAAAGATGTGCCTTTGATGTCCTACGTTGTCTTAATGAAAAATTAAAGCTCCTTCTTAAACATCATTAGACACAAGCACCTCTTTCAAGTCCATCTCACTTATTCATTTCCTTTTTCGTCTTTCTCTTCTTTCGCGGTGCATCAACCACCACTGATCCGTTCTACAACTTTTCCGCTTTTATCCTTTAGACTTTAGATATTTTCAGATTGTCGAATCTTTTATTTGTTTATTTCTTTTTTTTTTTCTCGTCATTTCACCGTGCAATATCCGGAATTTTGTGCACGAAATAACAGATTTGTTTTAATAAAAGATTTAAGATGATGAGTTTGTTAATGATCAAAGAAACTGTAAAGGTTTATCGTGCGTTGTATCATTTTTTCTGTCTGGGTGCCAATAAATTACCAGATGAAGATGCACAAAAAATGAATCCGGTTTCTTTTATATATATAAGGAATGAAGGAAAGATGATACTTGATATATAATAAAAGAACAAAAAAGTTTAATTGAAATTATTCTTCTTTCTTTTCAAAATTTGATGTTAAAAATATCTTCTTCTTCTAAAACTATAAATTTTATTTTTTCCCATTGCATATCTATTTTTATTTATTATGATTATTTTTAAATAATATTTTTTTTATTCAGTAAAAAAAAGAACAATAAAATATTTTTAGAAATTTAATAGTGCAGAATAATTCCATATCGTAATGTATAGAATTTGGTTCAACTATTGATGACTTTTTTTTTTATATATCAAAGAATGGTCCGAAAATAGAAAAGTGTATAAAAATTGATAATGCTATAAAACAATAGAAGATTCGATGTGTCGCAAATCGTCGAAGCGGCCCGAGGTAATGGTATTGAGGGATGAGATACAGTATAAAAGCAATGCATTGTCACAATTTGCATGAGTCGATGGCGATTTGAGTGCACTGCTGTGCATCAATGTAACAGTTAAAGGTAATACATGAGAAATACGATTTGGAATACGTAGACAAACTCGAGGCCAATCAAATTATCGTTTACCATTTCGATTTTACTTGGTCCAGTAGATAACAATATTTTTTTTTTTCTCTACTGCTATCTCTAAAACTGTTTAATTGTCAATGTTATGTCAACATTAAATTTCATGCCTTTTATAATTTAATTTAAGCTATTAATGTGATATTATTTGAAATTTAAAGATAATCATAAAAGCTCATTGCATGAAATTATTTCTTCTTTTAATATTAAAATATTTTTTTAATACTAAATTATTGATACATGATTTATTTTTTTTTAAAGAAGCTATTGAATGATATTTTTTATTTGTGACGATAAAAAATTAGTATTAAAAAAGAAAGCTGAAATAATCGAAAACAATAGAATCGCAGGGGCTATTGAAGAAAATGTAAATGAGTTTTCTATGTATGAAATCCTCAAAATGGAAGTTCAGCAAAATATCGCTACCTGAGTAGCGACACAATGCAGAGTATATTTTTTTATGGGTCCACCGCAGAGTTCTAATAGCACCCAACGGAAAAGAATACGATAGAGGATAGAGATTTGGTATAGACATCATTTTATTTGCAGTACCACCCATTTCTACACCCTTCAACTGTAGATTCCAGTACTTCATCTCTTTGCGAGAGAGGCAAACCTCATCCTCTCATCATTTCTCTTCCTGTTTCTCTTCGCTCACATTCTCGAGTACATTGGCATCCACCAAAAACTACCCTTAAAGCGAGGGTAGACTCGCGCGCCATTTGGGTTTACACTTTTTCATTTTTTCCTCTTGTATATTTCTCATCTTGCATTCTTCCATACATAGATTACAATATTACCACCATACTTCTCCCCTTCTTTCCACTTCTTCTCTCCTCATTCGCTTCAGTATAGTGCCAAGCTACTAACTCCAAGGCGAACCCTTGGTATTCTGTGGCCTATGGATCACCTCAGCGACGCTAGCATTCAGCTTGATATATATCCCTTACCTCTGATCGTAACATAAATTTTAATGATGACTATGATGAAAATATAAGAATGTTTAGATATTTATGACGTCTGTTACCAACATCTTGCAATCATTTTTCAT